ATCCCATTTAAAACGTGGAGCCAATGTCTCAAACTTTGTCGTTAAATATGAATAAACAAGCCTAAATGGACGCCTTTGCTGCAGCTGAAAAGGCAAGCAGCAATAATGGCATGGTCATCTAAAATTTATGTTGTTTTTGGAGAAAGGAGATTGTTTTGTGGAGCAAACCCATGATTGCCCTTGACGTAGGTAAACCATGGCAATCAAAGTAAGTTGTTCAAAGTGATTTAAATTGTTTTGATTTTTGTGTTGTTAACTTTGCCTGATGTCAACAAGCACATACAAATGAAATGAATAAAAATGTAACTTGAAACCAGTCAAAAAATAGCTTTATCATGCTTTTATCACAAATGCTGCCGCCAACAGATAGGTGAGTTGGGATGATGTTCAACATACATGCTACTCTAAGTTGGGTTAAGTTGGTTAAGTGCATGGCAAGTGACAATAGGAATTGTGCAAGAATCAGTAATTCACAACTGGTGCTGTGATACAAACAGGTCAGACAGGATGAGATGAAGTAAGGCCTCTTTGGGATAGGCATGGTTAGGCTACTTTCATGGAAATAAGCATTGGTATTTTGTAAAAAAGTGACAAATGTTTTTTTTCCCCGACCCCATTTTAACGGAAGTCAGAGGTGTGTCTATTGTGTTTGACTTGGTGATGGGCTGATGCGTAAAAGTCTAAGGTTTTTTGTTTGTTTGAGTGTTTTATGCTTGTTGAATTTTCTGCTGTTCTTTTGTTGAAATTCTTGAAAATTGAATTTCTTTGCCTCGTTTTGTGTTAAAAGTGGTGTGGAAGGGAAGGTAAAGTGCATGAAATTATCGGTGATAGTAATTTTTTATGCACATTATACTGTCATGAAATTACTACGCTTTAATTCATTTTGTTTTACTTAAATGGCCTAAGATGTTAAAAACCAAAACAGTTTTGTCAGGCTTCTTATATTACGTCCATGCCAACTTGAAATAAATGTCTTTGTTTGCTGAAGCATCGTTCACGAGCTCATAAGTTCGGTCTTTTGTGAATTGATTTTTTCACTCCTGCACAGTCTCTTTGCAGTGGAATTTTTCACTCCCACCCTAGTTCAAAAACGATTCTAGCTCCCTGGATTACGGTCAGCTTAGCTGCCCGGGAGTGAGGACCGGACTGGTTGATGACGTGTCTCAGGGAGGATGATTGGTTTGAGGGCTCCTATTGTCATTTTTTCGGCAATGTATTTTGAAAGGCTTTCATGGCTTGCTTTGCACTTGAGCACTCGCTAAGCAGAGCTTTGCTTATGCCTCAATGCCACCACCCAAGAAGGGCTGCTCCAGTTCATCGTACAATGTTGCCTCTGCTGTTTTTGCCAGACTTGGCTGCGCAGGTTTTACATGCCGCTACAGCTTAGTGCACCGCTATTACACTGCTACCCCGGGCCCGTGCATCCTCCTTGGCCCCTGCTGGCCAGGTGCCAGCTGACATTTCTATGTCGGAGGGTCAAACAAGCTGAGCAAACTGTTCTCCCTGGTACTCTTACCCAGTCCCGCTGGATTGCGGGACCACCATCTTCCAGATGATGTGAAGGAGACATTATTCGTTGTTATCGGCTTTCATTGCTCTGGCTGTTTTGTAAGAGATTGAATGCGAAAAAACAGGTTCCATTTATTTTCTGGAATTAAAGAAAAATTTGTATTCCAAGAAGCAGCTTTCCAGCCCTAACAAATTCCGGACAGATGAAATGTCGCCCCTTTATGTCCATACGCCTTGCCTTCGGCCATAACAATATCGAATTAATGCTTCTACAATAGGAGTACCCGCATACCATCTTTCCATACGGTTGATGTGAAACATCCTGCCACACCTCTGTCCAGACATGTCAACTACTATAGCGATATTTAGCAATCATTGCACGGGTTCATGACTTACAAGTGCAAGGCTAGGTTTAAAACATCCCTTTTTGTGGTTTTCTTGCCTCGTTGAGAACAAAAATCCCAGCAAAAGCTGTGTTACCTGCTGAAACTGGTCATCCCCTTAGAAGCTGGGGAACTAATACAACCAGAACAAAGTCATCGACAACATATCTGTTCTTACAGATATCATTCCAAATCATTTGCTCGCATGTATGCAGATCCAGGATTTTACCAAATTTAGACCAGCAGCTTGTCCCTTGCCTACCAAGTTGGGACTCAGCCCACAAATATCCGGCACACCACTTTTGACTCGTGGCCAAGGATGGAACTTTGCGTTTTTCACTGTGTGTGGGGGGGGGGGGGGGGCGGGGCAAACCCATGAGTCTTACACCTTCTATTTCCAGAACCCATTTATTCACGGATTTATTCTGGTCATATTTTGGACTTGATATAAGAAAAGAGAATACAGCTCCTGGTTTTTGGTATTACGAGTTTAAAGTTCTTAGTATAAGCTAACGACCTTTAATATTCCTGGAGGCACTGGTTAAAGGGAATCCCCCACATTTGAAGATATCGTAGTACGCATGAGATATTATGAAATAAGCCCACTTATAACTATTGGTACATTTTTAGGTAGAAAAGACTGCTCTAGACAACGCACTCTCTCTGTTTAGAAAATATAGTCTTCAATAAGTCGTCTGACTACGTCCTTATTTACCTCGCACAGTACTGAGAACCAAGTGGCGGCCGTTATATTTGGAAATCGTGCTCATGAGCGCCAGATATGAACGAATGGACAACAACGTTTGTCTTAGCCTTGATCGCACAGCTAATGAAATTGCGAAATTTGAAGGACGCTGTTATGCCGTCATGGATGCCTGGGTGGCCTTGAAAGAGTTTACCCGAAAAAGTCTGCACATCTTCACGGGCATGTAGACTAGAAACTAAAAGGGTGTAGGTCCCATTTGGTAGAATAATATCAACAAGACAGCTTATCCTGAAAATTGCTGTCGTCACTTTACCAGGAGGATATTAGTTAACGACGATGCCAAAGAATTGTGACATCTTAAAAAAACGCTGACATGTGCAAATTTGGGAATTTTTCAAACATAACCTGATGATTGCCTGACATCGTCGTTAAGCTATTACATCTCGGCATGTTGAGGGCCGGGTATTTTCGCTTCACATCTCATCATGACTAACAACCAGACGCTCAAAGCCTTTATTGTTTGCGTCCATATGCAACGGGATCAGCAGTGACACACTTGAAGTTCGATGAATTAATATTGTATATATAACTTCATCGTTTCTGACCGTGCCTAAGCCCTTGGCTTGCCACGAATTTGAACAGCCAATTGATTAGATGAAATAGTGCCGCCGCCGCCGCCGCCGTCGACCAACCTTAAAATTTGGCAGTTTGGTTCGGAACCTCGTAAGCAAAAGAAAGGTGACCCATAGCACTAGCTAGCAAATCGGTGGCTGGGTGTGAAGTGATCCTCCGCGCTTGCCACTTCCACTGCAGTGTCCTTGGCTAACCCATTCACTTGTTCTTCGAGCCCGAAAGATATCGAATTGTTCCCTTCAATGGCATTCCGTGGCCCCTTGGTGAAGACCAATGCCAGACCAAAGTAATACCTGTTTTCAGTCACCACAATAGTCGGTAATGCTAGCGTGCAACAGTCAGTAATTTGCTACAATTTCGCCTGAGAAGCGTCTCACACGGGCGAGAAGTTGCGAAAAAATCCGCTCCACCCTCTTCCGGTGCACCGCAATGAGATCTTCGAAACGACCACTGCGCACTGAGACGAGCCGCGTGCGAGGACGCTTGTCACACGCAGACAAAATACCGCGCTATCACTGGTGCTAAATGATCCAACAGCATACATCAAACATGGCCGCTTCTGGTGCGTGCGCGTCCACGCTAAGACATGGGGTTGACGACAGCACCGAAATTTTAAAGTACAGATCCAAAAATGAGGCACCCTCTGGATACCTGAGATGAGAAGCCAATAAATCACGTCACGCTTTTTGACATTCTCAACTCATCTCCCCTGGTCACGCTGCGTCCGTGTGTAAAGTGTAGCGTCTGTTTTTGGCCGCGTGTTGCTTGCCATGATAGGAAGCTAATTGTATCGAAGTGTAAGATTTTGCTTTTTAAAGGACTTGAACGTAATTTCCAACCGTACCTGGGCGTAACACTAAGGTTTTTACCCACCTCCTCCATTCTTCCTTGTTGCTCTTTGATCACGCTCCATCAAAACCCTCTTCCAACTCCATGCGTAACATATGATGTGGACGATCCATTTGGTATTGTGCTGTTTTTTCTCTCCCATGGCAGATCTTCGTGAATCAATTAGCGGATTCTTTTTTGCGCTACGCTCTCGGCATGGGTCCCGCTTTGCTGCACGAGCCCAGTTAAAAAAGTCACTCCAGTGAGCTGATCAACTTCTGCGCTTTGCGCTTTAGATCATAATAGGTGTGGAAAGGCAGGCTGTATGGTGTTTTCATTTGAAGATTTGAATGCGATGCAGGCTGCAATCGGTTATCGTCAACACCTGAGTCGCATGGAGAGCTGAGCCCAAACTGTCAGTCAGTCGCCGGGGCCCGCGTCAGAATCAAATCTACGTGTAGTGAATCGGAATCAGCGTCGGCCTTGCCCAACTGGTGTCGAGCATATGTCTGTTTTGTGCGGTATACTGTTGTACAGGTTCATCTTCCTTCGGTTAAATTGGCCAGGATTGGCCGGACAGACTCAACTTATTTTGAGGAAAAAGAACTGTACCTGGTTCAGCATGCCGACCAAGGTCAACAGACTGTGTTCCAGAAGACTACCTTTTTCGGTACAGTTCACATTGTCCATCAGCTGATCGACACAACAGCCGTCCATCAGCGCCCAGTTAGGCCGCCGTCCATCAGTGCCCAGTTAAGCTGCCGTCCACCAGCCCTCGCCAGAGCACACGGTCGGCAGACCGGCCGTCCCCGGCAGGCCTCGCGCGCACGACCCGGCGCCCGCCGCCGTCGGCTCCGGGTGACATCAGCGGTGACGCTGCGTGCGGCGGCGGCGGCGCGGCGCGGCGCAGCAGTTGTGTTTGTGGCCGGTCGGTGGACGGAAGCCGCCTGGCGGGCTAGTACGGAGCGGAGCGTTTATGCCGAGAGGGAGGGCTGCCGGGACGCGGGCACGCCTGCTGCGAAGATTGTTCAGGAGCTCCACGTGAGTCCGCGCTGTGCCCGCGCGTGTGTTGGCCGCCCTTCGTAAGCCGACGTGTTGTTTCGCAGCTGTCGCGGGCTGTGTATTCTGCGTTTTAGTAACCATCAAATTAAATAAATCAGAAATGGAAAAGAGCGAATGAAATCAAGCTTTCCTGGCATGAGAAGGTATTTGTGGTCCCTTAAGGTGGTTTTGACATCAATAAATTCCGATTAACTGAGATATTATCACTTATGCGTCTTGCTTTCGACCGGTGCTCTCAGTGGCCAGAAACGCGACCACAGGGAATGTACCGCCGTCGTTACATGGCATTCGCCTGTCGTGGGGCGCATGGTAAGGCCGCAACCTTGCAGAATTCGTACGGTGTAAAGGGAATGGGCATGACAAAGACAAAGATGCTGGGTGTATCATGAGGGCTTATTGTAGCTTTATGCGCTCTTGCCTCATTTTTCACGCTACGAATTTCGTTGTGAGTTGTTCCGTGTGAGTTGTATACGCAGAGACAGCATTGGCTGACATCGGAATGTACCGGAGTGATTTTGTGGTTATAGATTTTAATGTAACCACCGAAACGTTAATTATCCTCTGACTTACAAAGAGTTTACAAACATTGGCAGTTACGTTCTGATAAATGGAACAGTTGTCGCAAAACGCATATGATGATATGCTTAATGAATTTGGATTGGAAACTCTTGAGGTTTGGTTGCCAAAAAATAAATGTGGGTGTTAATGTATGAATATAGTTTTCAAATGAACGTAGAAATGAAAAAGGAGAGCGTAAAGCGATGTATATGAGCTGTTTGTCAGTGGTGAATTTAGCAATGTGCGGTAGAAAGTTGGTAACTATATCTTTTGAAGCTTTGTAGTCTATTGGGGTCACTTTGCCGAACGATAGCCTCAAGTAAGGATATTTGGGTAAACTAGAATTTAGACATAATGTTTTCGCCAGAGATAAACCAACGTAAAACGTTAGGACGGACGGTGTCGGGCATTGTGGTACGGTAAGCTTTCGCTTCAAAGTCTGCCTCATGGCCGGTAATTTCACGATTGCCTGGTAGCGTTGGGGCTCACGCAACAAACGCTGCTTATCGCGGCAGTTGATCCCAGAAATCAACCCAATGAAAGGTGTATCTGTTACATCTTTAAAAACCCCAGTGCTGTGAAGGCCGCGGTTTTTGGTAACCTGTTTACGATGTGGCAAATGCTGCTAGACCACATCGTCCAGTTTTGTTTACCTGTGGCGGATTTATATGAATATCAAACTAGGGGTCAGTTTTGCATTCGCTCAGCGTCTCCTGTCAACACATGCCATGACTTTGCACCCAATCGGTTGCCAAAGAAATCATGTCGCCCCTGTGTGCAGTGTCCGAACGCACCCTGTTACCGTATCTTGCACATATTCAGGGGCGCAGTTTCCAATGTCCTATTCTGTTGCCTCCCCACCCCCCACCCCCCTCATACTTTGATGAGACGGGTCAAGTCCGGGATAAGGCCGTTTAAGTGTAATCAAGGGGTCAGTTTAGTTGTTTCCCTGTTCAGCTTCCTTCCCCCAGCTTATTTTGAGAACTTACACTTTGCACATATGCAATGGAACATCAAGCTGAATGTCGTTAGCCAGAAAAGAGGAAACCATTGTTCTAATGGTGAATAATAAATAAATGCCGTTGCTGTGCCTCTAATCACAACACCAGCCGCCACCACCGCACATCGATATTGCTTAATTTGTAGGCGGTGGAGTTACCTTCTCCCATGCATGGGATGATTGTGATAAGACGTAGCACAACAGCACAATTTGCTGCGGTCTGTATATTTGAAATATCGCTGAATAGTGCCAAAACAATCCAACAGTGGCACAAAACTAGACCAGATATAGCAAGAGATATAAATCGTGTAATAGAAATAGGTAGCATGCAAGAAAAACAGAATAAAACTCAAGTGAACTCGTTACTACCTCAGAGATTCAAAACAGTGACCGACTTAGTCGGGTGTACTAAAATGTACATGATATCGCAGTCTTCGTTTTCTGTAAGTTTTTACCAGTAAACAATTAATAAAAGTATTTTTTTAAGTTTGTTGTAATTTCGAGTTCGCATTTGTAATGTCCTATATGTACTGGGGCCCAGTAATGTTGGGGGGGGGGGGGGCAGGCTCGCCATTGGGAGGGAGCAGATTGGACATCGGGAGGGGGGCAGATTGGACATTGGAGGGGGGGGGGGGGCAGTGGCCCATCCAAAAGAGTGCAAATAGACAGCCTTACTTATGTGCGGCAGTGTTCACGCCCAACGTCGTCTTGCGAGTGATAATTAATCAAATGTTCGAAAAAGCCGGCGGACATCATGGTCCAGCAGCCAGGCCGGAATCCTTCGCGCCGCGTATTTCGCTGGTTACATCACGGCATGCGACCTTGGAGGGATTGCAGGCCAGCGACAATGGCGTCCGCATGATTTGTCAGTAGTCGCACACAGAATAAATGGCAGACATAAACGTACTGCGCATTCATCCCTGACGTCTAGGGGTGATGCATCTCGGAGACAGTTGCATTAGCACTGTTGAATTTACGATCCTCGGGCTCTGCCGGATCTGACCCTGTGGCTCTAGCTTCAGCACATGATCTTATCTCCTGTGTATTTTCAGCGAGCGATTAGCTTCGGAAAGATGGAACAACTCATATCGAAATAGATAGATTCGAGCCTGGTTTTGAAACTGAGTAACACAACACATGACATGATGACGTTTCAGCAGACTTCGGCCCCCAACACCTTTTAATGGTACGCGACATAAACAAATGCCAAAATATTTTGCTAGGGAGGGGTGGTTGTGCGAGCCGACGCGATGTATACGGCGACACCGGATCTAGACCCGGCTGCTAGTTTACGTTGTACCGCAGTGAACACGTCTGAGCTCCGCCGGGCCGCGATGTCTAGAGTGGGCTGGAGGTCTGGACAGCGTGTTTATGTCCGCCGGCATGACGCAGGTGTGGGTCTGGTAGGCTACCGTGTGCCAATCGCTGCCTTGGAGGGTTCGGCGGCCGCCGTCCGCTGCCATATGCATGACGCGCTTCTGGGAAGCCCAGCCGGCTCGATTTTAGCCAGACATTCTGGCGCGCGCGCGCAGCTGGTGCCCCTGCTCCCGGAACGGTGTGATGCGTTTGTAGATCGGTCGGTCGCAGTCGGCTGCATACGTCATCCATTGGGCGAGTCGGAGCACAGATCTGGCTACGCAGAGCTGCTAGCTCAACGCAAACCCAAATGCGGTGAAATGTTCCCGACGAACCATCAACTCCGAATAGACGCGACGACCTGTGTGTGTGACTCAGAACACATCTGCACGCGACAAAAGGTTCTGCAAACGATTCCTTTGCTGGGATGGCAAAACCTAATATGGTACGAATCCAAACAAGGCACCCGCACGATAGCCTGGCGTGGGTTATATTACAGTTTCTTGCATCACTGAGGAGCGTAGTTAAGCGGTGTTTGAAGCACGCGAACTGCTTGGGATCCAGGAGCGATAAAGAGGGGTCTAGGCAACCAGACTTTCTTGTACGCTATGTTTGACGCTCTATGAAAATAATATTGACACTACTCGCGGATGTGGCGGTAAAGTTGTAATCGTCCCATGCAGGGAAGAAGGCAATTCTACCGCCTATAAATTAAACAAATATCGATATGCGGAGGTGGCAGCTGGTATTGTGATTAGAGTGACAGCAACAGCAAAGAGAAGTTTCTCAAAGTAAGATGGGGGAGGCGGAACAGGGAAAAAACTAAACTTATCCCCCAAATACCCTTAATCGGCTTTATGCTGGACTTGACCGGCCTCTTCAAAGTGTGAGTGGGGGGGGGGGGGGGGCAACATATTAGGAGACTGGAGACTGCGCCCCTCCATATGTGCGCGATATGGTAACAGGGTGCGTTAAGGTACCGCAACAGGGGCAACATGAATTATTTTGCAACCCATCTGAGTACACTGTCATGACGTACTGACGGGAGACGTCGGGCGAATGCAAAATTGGCCGTCTAGTTTGATATTCATAAATATCCGCCACAGGTAAACAAAGCTGAACGATGTGGCCTAGCAGCTTTTACCGCATTGTAGACATGTTGCGAAAAACCGTGGCCTTCACGATACTGGTATTATTAAAGATGAAGCTCAAACCTTCCATTGGGTTGATTTCTGGGATCAACTGCCGCGATAAGCAGTGTTTGTTGCGTGAGCCCCAACGCTACCAGCCAATCGTGAAATTACCGGCCATGAGGCAGACTGGAGCGAAAGCTTAACGTACCACAATGCCCGACACCGTCCGTCCAGCCCACGGACACGGCGACACGCTTTTTTCCCTCTTTTGATGACCGGGTTCGCAACGGACGTTTTGAACTGGTTTATTTCTGGCAAAAACATCATGTATGAATCCTAGTTTACCCCAAATATCTTATACTTTGGGCCATTTGCCACCGACAAACAGCTCATAGACGTCGCTTTACGCTCTCTTTTCAATCCCAACTTCATAATACAATCAACTTTATACATATTCACCTACATCCATTTTTTGTCTCTAAACCTTAAGACTTTTCAAGCCCCACCCGAGCGCGTGTTAAATTTTGATCTGTCGAGAACGTGCGTGTAAGATGGTTGTAATACACACGTAGATTCTGGACAGTGCATTTTTTAAATGCATTGACAAATAGTTGACAGCTTACATACGTACACAATGACATATATGATTATATATATATATATATATATATATATATATATATATATATATATATATATATATGTGTGTGTGTGTGTGTGTGTGTGTGTGTGTGTGTGTGTGTGTGTGTGTGTGTGTGTGTGTGTGTGTGTGTGTGTGTGTGTGTGTGTGTGTGTGTGTGTGTGTGTGTGCTTGCGTGCGTGCGTGTGCATGCGTGCGTGCGTGCGTGTGTGTTTGTGTGAACATAGAAGGTGGATGGAATCCGAGAAGTTTGCCGTGGCTTTTCACCTAGATCTTTGATGTTTGAAGTTCT